TTTAATATTTTATAAAGAAATTAACAATTTTTTTTAATTTCGCAGGCAAATTTGCCTGCTAGACAATCTAAGGGATACAATTAAAATATTAGAAAACATCATTTTATTTAATAAAGATAAATTAATAATTATATTTACTTACTAAACTCATCTCTTCAAATGTTTGAAGTATATGTTTTAATTTTATCCTCTTAAAATTATTATTGTATTATATAGAAGCTTGTCAATAGAAAGGGAAGAAATCTAAAAAAAAAGTTTTTATGAGTTAAAGTTAAATCTGAACTTATTTTTCTAAAAAAATCATTTTTGGCATATGAAGTAATTTTTTTAGATTTTCTCCTTTCTATTAATAAGCTTCTATATATGCTAAATCGTTAATAACTTCCTATATAATTTCTGGATAAATTCATGTTGTAATTTGTTAATAAACTTTTAACTAATGACTAAAATTCTATACAAAACATTAAAGCTGGCTAAAAGTGAAATCATAAAAAATTATATTGTTATGATAAGATTGATAATGATTATCAAATAAAAAATTTGTAAAATATAATAAATCTTATTTATAGATCAATAAATATGATGATCAAAATAGAAGAAATCTTAAAATTATAATAAATGTAATATTCAAGCTCAATTTGATATCTGCATATTTAAAGTACAAAAAAAAAATTTTTGATTTGCATAATTTGTTTATCAAAGATTTTTTCTCATAATATTAATATTTTTATTATTTTTTATTTTTGTAAAATTTATATGTTATTTTAAATTTCTGAATAATTTTGTATATATTAGTTTTTTAAAAAATTATAAAAAAATAAATCATTATAAAACATGGAATTTTGATACGAAATCATTAAATACATATATAAACCTTATACAAAACATATTATTTTCTTATTTAGATTTCTTATAGGGATTGCAGTTTTGTTTATTTTATTTAAAAATAAAATAAACTGTAAACAATAATATTAATCAAATCTAAATTTCCATTTTCTCAAAAAAAGTAAATATTTTTTAGGAATATGGATCAGTATAAGCAACAATAAATCCTTCATCATTAAACAATTAGTTGATATCGTTGCCGATTTCATAATTAAAGTCAAAAACAAATCTATGACTGATAAAATGATCCTCCTATTATGAAAACCATCAGCCTCCCAATATTAACAACTGTGAAATTATGACAACCATCAGTTATACTGGAAGATAATAGAGAGTATTTTGCTAATCTATGATATATATGAAAAGTTTGCTAAGAAAATAGGACTCTAAGCATTTTTTATTAAAATTTTAATTTTTATTGTATTTTAATCTAATATTATCAAAAATTAAAATGCAATAAAAATTAAAATTTTAATAAAAATTCTCAAAGTCTCATTTTTCATTTTTCTAGCAAATCTCTTATATTGTAATTAAGTAAATAAATCGAAGGTGATTTTTTGGATAAAAATTTATTAATTTCCTTTCTTTTTTTGTTTTTTTAGGAAAATTATTATTTTAAAATTAAAATAAAGAAATCAGAAATGAATTTTGTGTGAATTTATAATTTTTCTTTATATCCTTTAGGAATACATCATAATAAGTCAATCAATTAAAAGTAATTTTAAGATGGAATTTTTAACTTATTATTTTACTTTATTATTTTTATGAATATATCTCATATAGATCAATTGAAGATAGATCTTTAAAGTATAATTTAATTATTCTTTTAATTTTACTTAATTTTTTTTTTAAAAAATAAATTTTAATATTATGTAAAATTAATAAAATTTAAATATAAATTTGTTATTGTTAGTTCTGATTTGCTTAAGCTAATTTTTGGCTGATTTAAGTCAATTTATAACCAAATTGTCAATCAGAATTAATGTAAATCAATTATAAAGTAGTATTAATTATCCATCAATTATCCATTCAATTTTTAGCCAATTTGACTTATTTCGACTAGTAATTATCAGGTAACAAATTTATTTATTAAAAATTGTAATTTAAATAACATTTATTTATTTATTTTATAGAATTTAATCAATTTAATTTACTTTATAATTAATATAATGGCTGATATTACAAATATTATATAAATGTAAATTTTAGGTAATATAACAATAGTTTGAATTATTATTAATTGTGATGTGATATTTTCATTTTTTTTTATAAGTAAAAAAAAATACTTTTTATAAAAAAATTATATAAAATAGATGATTTTGTTTGATTAAGAATTGATGTCGATCAATCCATACTGAAAATGTAAATATAAGTTCCTATAAATAGAATTTTGTGATATATATCTGACTTAGTTATCTTTAATATTTTTTCGACATTCAGGACATTTACTTTGCTTCAACCTTTTGAAATTATCCAATGATAATATATGTTGACATTTTAAAACATATTTGATTAGTTGGTTCGTATTCACAAGAATCAGAAATTTGCTCTTTCTTTACATTTTTATCTGAACTATTAAACTTCCCAATATCATAATTTATTATTTTAAAATCTTCAGTGAATTTCTCATTAGCAAAATTTAATAAACTTTGAAACCTTTTTAAAGAATCAATTAAAACATTGTCACTTATATTTTGAGAATATTGATCAAAATCACCTTCTATAATTGAAAATATATCCTTATTAATATTGTATAAGTGTATCAAAATCTCGATTGCTTTAAATTGAATGAAACTACTAGGCGCCTCTTGAAATGATTTAATTGCTAAATAATAGCAAAGCCCATGCGTAACCGTCTGATTATATTTTTTTACAAGATCATGCGCAAGATCCAATATTCCGAACCATAAAGTATGTGGTAAAGCAAGAGGTTCATTTCCAGAAAGATCATTTAAGAAAGTTCCAGTATTTCTTGACGCCTTAAAGGTTTTATTTGATATTTCATCAGATTTTATTTGAGAGTCTAAAATAATTAGATTACCATTCTGTTCTACTTCTAAATAACTCCAAAGGTATTCCATTATGATCTTTTCTCCAAATTTTTTACTAATTATCTTATCAATATTATGTTGAATTATCAACAAGGTTCTCCAATCAAAATAATAACGTGCTATTGGATACTTGAAACATAAGCTTTGTCGTAATTGAGTAACCATTGATAATATCGAAATATTATTAGGACAAGGAACTCCGGATGAAACCTTTGAGAGAATTCCTGGAGCTACACCTATAGCAGCTTTAAGTATGTCTTTTACTCTTCGTATTAATTCTTGGAACCAAATTTCATCATCACGTAAACTATGTAATGTATCACGCAAATGAATTAACAAAAAATCAATATTATAATTTCTTTTTCTAACTCTGTTTTCATTTTGTTCCATATATTTTTGTTGAGAAAATTGATTAGATTTAGGTTTAAAATTATTTTCTAGGCCCTCTTCTACCACTTGCGTTGTCTTTCGATGTATTTCTGCAAATTTTGTTAATTTATTATATACACTTTCACGAAGTTTTCTACTAAGACGTATTGGTGAGAAACATATTCTTTCTAAAACTATTACCATGTACGTATTTGTAATTCTAACCTAGCTACACTTTCTTTTAATAAAAATTGAATGGAGTGGGGTCGGATAAAGCAATTAATGAATTAATTAAGATTTGAGGTGTAAACTCATTTTGCGAATCTTCAAAAAGTAGCTTTAAATTGTATAAATTTTTCGGTAAGGTTAAATTTTTGAGAAAATCTTGAACTTTTCCTCTAAAATAATAAGTCCAGTTTGATTTAGAGGAATGTTTTCTAAATCATCGAACACAATTGTTATCTTACTAGGAGAACTTTCATTCTAAAGATTTATTTATATGGTCAATTTATATTTTAGCAAATTTGCAAAGTATTAGAAAGATAAATGCTCAAAATGACAGAATAAATTTCACCTGGTCGTTTCCCTCCATGTTGTTAATGTTGCGCGAGCGTGTTGAGAATAATTTATCTACATTTGATATTTCCACATTTGATTCTAATCCTTGTATATCTGACGTTCTACATTGGATTCTAATGCTTTTAAATTCATTTGACTAGTCAAATGATGAATATTTTCGGAATTATTTGATACATAATTTTTCTTTTGATAATTTATCTGATTAAATCGAAAAATTTGAGATTCATTTCCAAATGAATTATTTATGTTAAAGGAAGCATTGATGATATTCAAACGACATTGTTGAAGATTTGGTTCATAATTATTCGTTTAATTATTTTCTGCTATGTTCGTTATCGTAAAAGTTGCATTTAATTTATCAACAACATGATTCATTGATGGACGATTATCCGGCTCATTATCCCAACATCCTGAAATTAGGTAAAAATTTAATAATCATTTTTATTCTTGTAAATATTTCATAATCATATATTTACCATTGTAAATTTTCACATAATCTTCAGGTGTGCCAGGAATGATGTTTTCTCGAAGTCCTCCTAAAATTTCGATAGCTAAACTTAAGTCGTATTCTTCATCCTTAATATAAAAAGGAGGGCGACCGCTTGATATCTCCCACAAAAGCACGCCAACACTATAAACGTCGCTCTTTTCGTTTAGTTTAAATTGTGGTGATGTGTTGTCATTTCTTCGTTTGGTAAAAATTTTGGGTCAACATAAGGAATTACTCCAAAAGCTTTCAACTGATTAGTTGATGCATCAATTCTTTTTGATATCCCAAAATCAGCTAATTTAATAATACCTTGACGTATTAAAATATTTCCGGAATGCTATTATAGATATTATACACAAAAAATAATTATTAATTAAATTATCAGCAATAATAAACAATAATATATATTATGTAAATATACCAAATCACAACAATTCCTTCGTCATGCAAACACAAGCCAACTGATATGCAAACTTGTATTTATCATTCCAAGTAAGGTTATCAAAATTCTCCTTCAAATAGTTTTTAAGTGAACCACCATCAGCATATTCCATTACTAACAAATACTTTTTCAATTGATCATTTTGATTTTCTAATTTTTTTTTTTTAATGAAAATGAGTTAACGTTAATACAATAAAAAATTGAAATATAAACTTTATGAAGGTTTACCTTGATATGAAGTTATCCCATAAAACCGATAATATTATCATGGAAATCAACTTCACGTTGGAGTTTAAGCTAAAAATTATCACAAACAAAAAAATTTTTAACTTGATACATAAATATTAAAAGAACGGAAATACATTTTATGTTTTGTAATACCTCATTAACAAGTTCTTTCGCAGTGCAGTGGCATTGTTAAAATTATGAAACGATTTTAATGCGAGCTGTTGCTTTGAACTTTTCCAATTTGCACGATAGACTTTTCCAAAGCTGCCATTACCAATTTCTTGAAAATTGCTAAAATGTATGTATTCGTAGTATTGATGTTTTTTTTTGAGATAGATTCTTCAATCCAATTAATCCATCCGAATTGTTGGAAGCTTGCATTTGATTATTGTAATGTATATAACGAAATTCATTAAAGTTTTTGGAGAAAATGTGATATATTAAATCAAAAATAATAAGAATTTAATAAGTTCGAAAATGTCCGGGTATATCCGGAAAATGTCGGACGGCACATGTTCTGGACAAACTATTTTCTGGACAATTTTGTTCGGACATCATTTTTTAAGTATCCTCCTCCTTTTTTAAATAAATAAAATAAAACATAAAAGGTAAAGATATTCTTTTTATATATTGACGTGAGAATAAAACAAAATTTATGGCATTTATGTAGGTTATGAATAAATATAATGAAGTTATACTAAAAAACAAGTATTCTTAAGAATTTTTTTATAAAATTTTGGTTAATATTTTTATTTTATTCACTAGTAATACAAATACAAAATTTATAATCAAGTCTCATAGTCATATTAACGTCATAAACCAAAAACACGAATAATAAATATCATAAATATTTCACATGAAAAAAGTGTCCTAACAATATATATATATTCCAACCTGTTAAAACCAGTTAAATTTTGCAAATTGAAATTGAGTAATCGAAACCATTTCGACTTTATTACCAAATGATATTTATTTCCGATTTTCGTTGTATTACAAAATTACATTAATTTTTTCTTAAAAAAAAATTATAATCATTTCTAAAATTGTCACCATTGGACCAATACAATCAATTTCTTTGCCAAAGTTTCCATTCTTTTAAGAATTATTCCTGAAAGCTTTTAAATTTGTTGACATTCGTGAAACAATCGATGAATTCTTTTATCACCACTTCAAAATTTATTAAAAAAAATTCAAGTAATTTTCCCTTTATTTCAAATTGAAATTTGAATGTCCAAGTATAAAATAAGATGATAAAAATTAACAATAAATGGTCAATTCTCTATAAATGTAACATTATAACTCACCAGGAGCAGATCACATGATTTTTAATTAACCGCAGCACCAAATAACATGAGGTAATTGAATCAGAATGCGATCATTTTTTGAAACAAATCTATGCTAAATAAAGATAGAGAGATATTTTTCTCAAAACATTCTCAAAAGAAAAGTCAAAAAATTATAAATCATGAAATCATTTTAAATCGAGCAATCGATTTATATATAAAAAAAAAAGTTATATAAACACTTTTTTCCATGGTGGTTAATTAAATTTCAACCAGAAATGTCTTCAGGTGATAATAAAACAAATCCTTCGGGAGGTGAACCTATAGCTCATATTGGTACAGGATGTTCTGCCCTTGATGGTGTTGGTGCTGTTCCTGTAGATATTAAGCAAAGTATGCAAATGCACTTTTTTTGATTTTAAAATCTATTGTTTCGAAATTTTTTATTTAATATTTTAATATTTAATATAGAAAAAGAACAAGAACAACAATCACAACCACAATCACAACTTAAAAATGCTACTGAATATGTTACTGGTCCCATTAGTTATGCATATACTGTTGCCAAGGTATAATAATATCGAAAGACATTTGACCCTGCTTTTTATCTTGTGACTTTCTTTTGACCTTTTTTTTTTTTTTAATAATTAGGATACTCTTGGTAACATGTTAGGAACTAATCAAACGTCAACTACAAACGATAAGGCTCAAGACCAAAAATCCGATAAATAAATCGGAAAGGAATTTTATACCTTTTATCTAATTCAATAAATATTATTTTAAAGCTTTTTTAAAAGCAAACATTCCGATGATTGAAATATATGTATATTTGCCCTTTCAAAGATTGTCAACTTATGCAATTATTATAAATAAAAAAATAAATAAAAAACATTAAATCATTACCGTACAGAACAAAGTCAATCAAACGTGACTGCAAGATATTTTTTTTTTTTTAAAAAAAAAAACTTAATTTTATAGCGCGCGATATACATTACTTGCGAGATGTTTTTAGATCATATATCGATATATATCATCTATATTAATTAATTCCGATGAAACACAGTACAGTTTTTAGTTTTCCAGGAAATAATCTCGATTTTGATATTTATAATTATTTTGCAGTTTAAATGGAAATTTTTGATGAACCTCGAGTTACGTTCAGTATTGTAATACAAATAAAAGTATATCTGATATTGTGACTCGTACCTACGTGCGTGAAAATAATTTTTTTTTTTGGTGAAAATTTTGAGGAATCTTTTCAATGGTTGTACTAATTAAATTTTCATTGACCTTATTAAAATTGTATTATGTTATAATACCTTCTTAACTTTCTAATATAAACTCAAAAAACAATGAGAAAGTTTCTATAAGAGTAGTTTGGCAAGCAATTTTATTTATTTTCGAGCCGAATTTGACCAAAAGCTCATATAAATTTCCATTTCTTTAAAGAAGAGATTAAATGTCATTATATTATAATCTAATCTTTTGCAAATTTGTAATAATATTTTCTTTCTTGTCACCGAAATATCACCGAATTTTCGTGTAAATATATATAATTAACGTAAAAAATTTAGTTTCTTTTTAAATAATAATTTCGTTTTTTTCGTAGCCTTGGTCGGAGGCAGAATTTATCATAATGACCGTCATCAAAATAAAACGCCGATACATTGTTAATGGGTCAGGTGAGATTGCCGACATATTAAATAATAATAACACTTCTATTATGCATTTTTGAAATAAAACAATTTTTTTCTGTCTGCGTAATAAATAGAAACTAATATCATAATAAGTGAAAGGGAAAGCTGGTATATATGCATAAAAAAGGCTAGAACACGAAAGTTAAATAAATTTTTTTTTTCCACAGTTGGAATCGAGTTAGTGGCAAAACGATAGAATAAGAAATTATAGTCAAGGACACAGGGTAATCGTACGACCACAGAAACGGGAATAACACCTTATATAACGTAAACGTCTAATTGGCTGTAGTTTAGCGAGAAAGGTAAAAATATATGAACAGTTATTTGATCTACAATTCCTACATCACCATGTGTTCAAGTAGAATACAAAGGCGTAAAAAAGTAATTCTCACCGTAGAGATTTCTTCTGTGATCTTGCTAAAGATGAAGGAAGCTACTTTGGTACCAAATATATAATGCCTTGACAATGTCACCAGCTTGCTTTAAGGACTCTCAACGTCGAGTTATAATAAATGCCTGTACAATTGCCGGTTTAATTGTGTTTCATTTTGGTTGCGATGCAATGATTGTATATATAATTCATTAACTAAGTCTTTTACTATAAATTTCTATGCAATAAACATGACTATTTTAGAAATTATGATAACATTTACAATGACTATTATCATCAGATGATTAATATCACAATCATGATAACCATTATAATGTTAATATTGGCAATAAAAATAATAACCTATTTTTCATCTTTCTATTATATTTAGTTATCATCCTAACTCATAAAACTATACGTATGGAAGGATATCTCGATTCTTAGAGTTTCCTAATTTGTCAGATCTTACTTTTCAAATTTTATTTTTATAAGAAAATTCACTTTCACTAATTTTAAATCAGGTTGTAGAATTTTTGAAGTATTACTAATGATACAATTTGGTAAATTTACCATCCTATTATATTTAATATCGGCCATCTTAACTTTAGGAAAGGACTCAAGAATTTTGTATTTAGATAATTTAATGATAATTCATTATAATATATCATTGATACATATTACATATTTAATGATTGTTCCAAAATAAAGAGCATTTTTTCTATTAATAAAATTCCTAGAAGAGCGCGATTAAATCACGAAAAACATTTAAATTAAGACACAGAAGTTTTAATAATATAGCATGCCATTTCTTATTTTAAAGGTATCGTCATATAAGATATCAAAAATTACTTGTTATTATTACCATAATTACCAACTACAAATTTTCGAATGAGTATAAATCGAAATAAACTTTAAAGATAGAAAAAATTTTGATGAAATATAATAAGCCGAAAACAAAATTATCAACTAGTTAAAAAGCAATAATGCAAGCAATTATGATTAATCCTTAAGTTATTTACATCTAACATATAACAGGCTTATTTATTAAGCCTATACAAAAGGCCTATTCATGGCCATCTGAAATAAAAATTATATTTTGAGGATTATAAAAGTACTGACTCATCGATATTGCTGTACTGAATGTCTAAATTTACCACTCATGAAGCCGTTGAAGAGATAAAGAAAGTGAAATAGAGTTATATAATATTGACGAGATAAAGCAATGCTGATAAAGAGAAGACGGAGAAAACAAAAAATGCAGTAAATGTATTACCAAAACATCTGATTATGTTGTGACGCCTAAATATTAATTACATAAACATATATAAAGTAATCTCAACGTACTTTTGAAGTAAACAATATCGATGAAGGCTAATCAAAAACAGTTCTAATTTGAAGAATACTAATCTAAAATCCTACATATCTCTTTTACAAACGGTCGCAAGGCCAATATAATTTTATATTTTTAAGAACGAGTTTGTTTATTTCGATCATTAAACATCACCGAATTAATAAAAAAATTAATAAATTTTTTTACGAATGATGATGTCATGTAGGGTGAAATAAACTTATAAATACCATTGTTTTTAATGAAATTTCCATAAAATAATTGATTAAAAAGTATTTTCAAATTGATGACAAAAAGTTAACATTTTTAATAGAAGTATTCTATTTTAGTAAACCATTTTGCTTGAATTGTGAATTCATCAAAAGAACTAACTTATGATTATACTTATCAGAATTGAACGTAACGAATGATTACTAAATTATAGATTTTAGGGAGAAATATTATTGCTCACTACAAATAAAAATCAGTTGATCGATTAATTTCTAAACAGTCCACTCTTTTACTAGTTATTAAAAATGATTATGAACAATAATCAAAAATTCGTCACGTCATATTTACATTAAAATCTATAATAAATTTTTTTTATTGATTTACCTCCTAATTTGATGAAGGTTTTAAGATTACAGTTAAACCTCTTTATAACGAATTTCTACATTCTAAATTTTTTGTTATGATGAATTATATAAGTGGTCTTGAATTTTATTAAGTAAAATAATTGAATATTAATTTTTATAATAAAACTTACTATTAGCGTTAATAATTTCTAATTTGTCTATTATTTGATTAATTAAATTACTTCGAAAATAAAATTTGCAACAATTAATCCAATTAAAATTGTCTGTAATTTTCTTCGCATCAAAAAATATAGCTCAAAGAATTGTATTTTAAGAGAATTTTTGGGATTTTTAAATGATCGGCAAAAATACGTCAAATCTATCAACCAATCAGTTTCCTCCTTATTGTTTATAAAATAGTGAGCTGTCTGAAGTAAACTTTTTTTTTCTTCACTCACTTTCCCTCCCCTCCTTAGATCACAAGAATAGGTGTGCCGTTTAATGTTGATTTTTTTCTTTATATGGAAGAAGAAGTAGAAATTTTCGGATTGCGCTTGGTTTGCCATATAGTTTTTTTTTAATATTCTTTTAACGCGTTTAATTTTAACGAAGTGCTCGCGTTCAGTATATTGATGAGATAAAATATATGAAAGTAACTAGATTAATATAATAGAAATTTTGAAGATGAATGTATAATAACATATTTATTATGAAATTTTCTTTGGATCGGGTTTGTGCTTTATTAGTTCTTTTCTTTAATCATTGCTTTTATCACGCGTTCAACTTTCAAGGAATGTACAACCATTTGGATCGATTACTGGAGATGTGAATTTATTATAATGTTGGGCTGTATAATTAATGACTAATATGTTGAGAGATAAAAGATGATTAACGAAATATTCTGTACTGGTTTGCTTCGTCTTGATTTTTTGTTTTAATTTTTTATATGTTTTACTAACGAGTACAATGACATGTATCCGACTGAATTATAGATTGTGAATCGTAAATGGAGAGATATCAAACATAATATTTTGTGGAATGGGTTTACTTTATTTTGATTTTAATAACATTTTGTAACGTGTATATATCAATAATATTTGCATACGAGAGAGATATTGTGTGGCACATCTGGTTGGGATGGATATGTAATAATGGATTGATGATGGAGGGATAATTGATAAAATTCTGCGAATGGGTTACAGTATTCATTTATGTTATACCTTTTTTTGTTTATTTTACTAACACGTTTTTATTGCATTTGCTAATTATATAATAGAATCATGTGATAATGAAAAGTTGTATTAAAATTTATAGAGATACCAAATAGTTTGATAAATATTTTGTGGACTAGGAATGGCTTTGTCTTGAATTTTTTTGTTTTAATTTTATATCATTGATAACGAGGATAGTTGCATTTACTGGATTGGATAACTCGTTAGATCAGATCACGTGATAATGGAATAGATATTATTATTTGGCTGAATAATTTATAGTTATATGTTATAATAATGGATTGTGATTAGAGGGAGGGTGATAAACGAAACTTTATGTCAATGGGTTTGCTTTATCTTATTTTTTGTTTCATTTTTTTTATTAATGCTTTGCTAACTTGAATAATTATATTTTATTGGACTGGATAACATATTGGAACGTGTCATATACTGACGGGAGCGAAATGTATGGTAAATTTGATAGGGTTGGATAAAATTATAGTTAAAGTTGTAATTATGGATTGTGATTAGAGGGAGGATATCAATGATTGA